ACAACTACACAAATATACAGTCCTAGATAGAGTTATTATTGGCCAACGTCGTTTGTAATGAAGTTTGGTCGAAAATTGGCAAAGCGTTTGTAATTCAGATTGATCGAAACTTGGCAAATAATTGATCAGCATGGAAAAAGAATCGCAATGGCGAGTTATATGTCGTTAATATTTCAAGACCTTCTCTACAAAAAGGCGTCAAAAAGTGCTTGTGTGATAGTTATTACAAAAAAATATAATCATCTGTGCACTAACTAAACGTGTTAAGTTTTAAACGGCTTTAAATTTTGAGTAAGTAATTAAGGTTAGGTATGTTTTCAAAGTTTTTAATAAAACATTCAATTATTATACAATTTCTTACTTCTTGAAGATTTTATACCCTTATTAATTTTGAAGTAGGTAATATAAATTTACATTGGTAGTTCTATAGGTATTATGTACTTATTTTTTGTTAATTGTTACAGATTTTCATCTTGAAGTTGCAGTGAAGAAAAATAACTGCCTTTTTCTAGGTAAATAGTGTTTATGGGTACTAGGCTTTTACTACAAGCAGGACAATTTAAAAATAAATTTTCTACCTATATGTCACGAAGGAAAAAGACGATTTATTGGGTTTTAAGATCTATCGTGCTAGAAGTGAGCAAGGTAATTGCAATTTTTTTATTGAATTTAAAAATTTATTTCTTTTTTATTTTTAAAGTTCTTCATAACATAAAGTTACCAATCACAAACTATTTTTCTTAATGTTTAATAAAGCATAATTCTTGATAGCCTGATCGTAATTCTATTTGTATCATAATATTATAACAAGTAAGTATAAAGGTGGATTTAGCCAGCATTTAAAGTAATGTAATGAAACGTAACATAGGTAATTTAATTTAAAAAATTGTGTAACACAATTTGTGTTGACCCGTCAAACAAGAAAAACTCAACCAAGAATACATCTGCACTTAAAGAAATCTATAGATAGGTATACAGGGTGTCCTGAAATTAGGGGGCCAAACTTAAACAGTGCATTCTTCATAGAAAAATAACACTTTTTTGTAAACATGTATCAAAAAATGGTTTTCACTTCCAAAATACGTTTTAAGACTTGTGTTTTTATATTGTTATGTTATAGGTTAGCTACTTTAAATTTGTCGCTGACGATGACGTCGTAGGCAGCGTGAATTTAATTGTCAAAGAAGCCTTCTCAGATGAAGTTTCTTCCAAAATAACGCGCACTGGACGTGCTGGTGTTGGAGTGTCCAAAACAAAAATCGTACAAGCCATTCACCGTATGTTTTATATTTTAATATTATTTCCTAGACAATTTTGTTACTTAAAGTATTTTTTAGAGAGTTTACATGAACATGATAAATTTCCTCCTCCAGGGGCTTTAGAATTCCAGAGGTCCTTTGACGTGGCCTTAAACAACGCGAAGCAACGGGTCCGAAATAAAAAAAAGCCTTATTGCAAAAAAACAATTAAATCACTGCTTGGGATTCAACATAAAAAAACAATATTTTTTTCCAATTTTGATTATTTTAAATATTTTTTATTTATACATTTGTTTTTTTTAATATTATTTTTGACCACTGTTCCAGTATTGAAACATACTGTTTTATTTTTTTATTATTAAAAAATATAAATACTAATTTTTTTATTTACCCAATTTTCAAATATAATAATAATATTTGTTAATACTTTGGATTTGTCCAAATATTTACCAATATTTGGTCAATTTTTCAAAAGCCTAATTGCCCAAATAAACATCAAAAATTTGTCATCGTTTTTCCATGCCCAAACATTCCCAAAATTAAACCAACGGTAACCTACCTAATTTATCCAAACTGCTTTGGCATATTATTGGGCACAATTTGGTCATTTATTGTTGGCCATCGCGATTGCACAAATACCATAGGAATATACAGTCCTACATAGTACATTTATTGGCAAAACTTTTCCAAAGGTAATGGGCAATTCTTGGCCATGTTTTAACCTGATATGGCTCTCTGGGTATGTGTACTTAGCACACCTGTAAATCAAGGTTAAATTACCTCATGAACTAAACCTTAATATACTTTATTGTTATATAATGCATTACCTACTATTTTCTGTGTATGGCAATTAAAATACGATTATTTGTTAATTAAAAAATATGCATGTGGCATTTTATCATGATTTATAAAAAAAATTATATTTATATTAGGTACTCACTTGAGGAAAAGTTTTTATAAGACCTAACAATGCGACCAATAAATTTAATTTGTCAACCTTACCGATAAAATATGTTAATTGAATACTTTTGAAGATTTTTTATTTAATTTTTATGACAAACAAAATATTTTTTTTAATTTTTAAAATAATAAAAAAATCAAAATTTTTCACATTAAAATTAATTTTATTGGCGTACATTCATTTTTAAGAAAATTTAACCCAAAAGAAACAAGAACAGAAAAAAAATAAATAAGATTTTTATATATTTTATCAAATAGGTACGCTTCTTCTAGATTTGGTCCAAACACCATGCATTTAATCCTATTTTTAATTACAAATATTACTTTTTATTTTTACTTACCTACCTATAAAATGAATGTTACTAGGTACTCAAAATGGACACTTTTCGAACATATATATTTTTTATCTGAGCTTTTGTTTTTAAATTATCCACCTTATGGACTGTATTTTAAAAATTAAAGTGTTTGGAATTGTCAATTTAATTTCTAAAATTCTTGTGTTAAACATTTTTAAATATCAACCAGCAAAGAAAAGTTTTGAGGTACTTATGTATATAAAAAAATAAGGTCAATAATTCAAAAACAAAAATTCAAAATTTGAATGAAAAATATTTAAAAAAAAATAGTTTTGATGAGATCTTCAACATTACGTTGTCTATTTTTACTGGAAAGTTGCGTACATTATTTTTTTTAATTTTAATATTTATAGGTAGGTAAGAAAAATTCCTATGGTTTAAATTATAAAATTACCTAAATTACAACAAATTTAACATGATACCTAAGCGAGTACCTAAGGTTCGTTTTTTATTCGGAATTAGGCACATTTGAATATTTTAAGATTTTAAAAAAATGGAATACGAATTAACGGCTAAGGATAACAATAGCTGGCCATACACAGGCGTTATTTTACGCGGTTTATCGTGGCGTGTTGGGATGTAGCGGTTAGTATGCACGAAAGAACGGCATGGCAAAAAAAGCGCCATGTTCCATACACTTGATAAAATATTCAAATGATTTAGCAAGTGATTGCCCGTGGTATATCAGTTTCAAAGGAAAAATCGTATGTGAGTGGGCAAAAAGTGTCATTTATCGAGTCGTTTGAAACTGCATGTGATCATGTACAAATTTTCAACGTGAAATTTTGCCAAGCAAAGGTAAACCGTGACGCGGAATGTGGCGTGTGAACACGCCACACTCCAGAGAAAAGCACGTCTGAAATCCCTTCCCGTTCTATCATTTCGCGCGGCGATACTCACTCACGTACATGATTTTCCATATGTTTTTGCAGATAACACGATAAACCGCGCGCAATAACGTCTGTGTATGGCCAGCTAATCACAAGGGTAGTCATGCGCAACGCGTCGCTAAGAGAAATTTCTTATTGATAAGGAGTTTTCCTTATTGATAACGACTGGTACGGAAAAAATCAGAACACAACGTCCACATAACGTTGATCGTTGGTCTCTCTGATTTTAAAGTGGTTTACCCCTCGGTTAATATACTTTGGTATTTTTAGTATTTAAAATTGGTACTCCTGTTCAAGCTATTAATTTTAAATACTTTGAAATGCAAATTTAAACTCTTTAAGATAGTAAAGTTATGGCATTTTGTACAACTTATATTTGACATTTTAAAATATATAAAAATAGTAATATAATTATAACATAGCCACAATTATAATCTCCACTAAACTAGTTTGTTTTACTCAATGTAGCCAATTATAAATTTGCCAACTAAACCCTCCAATTTTTGACGTCAAATTCCGAATAAATAAAAATAAACTGTAGGTAATTTATAACATAAAATTAACAAGAATATTTAACCTTAAGGAAATTGTCGGTAATTTTATATCATGCAGTAGGTAGGTAAAGTATTATTAAACTTTTTTATATAAATTAATGTGAAAAGTGATTTTAGGATATTTATAAACTTCATAAGTAATAAGAAATTTTCGAAACTTTCAAAACGAAATAAAATTACACTGTACGTGAAAATTTATTTTAGAATATGAACTTCCTTATAAGTAATTTTCCAAACTTTCAAAACGAAATAAAATTACCCTTTATCTACCTATTATTACAGCGATTAAATTAAAAATTCGGCGTGTTAAGGTGTACGATGTGGGAAGACGGCATTCCATAAAAGTTAATGGTATATTCTCGGGTATTCTTTTCGTGCACAATTAGGTAGGTATTTTTAAAATAAAATTATTTAAAGTATCTAGAAAACTCCAATATACATGTAGTAAGTATTTTAGAAATTTAGTCTAGCCTCTAGATTTTGTGCCAAGTTTGCGTCTATTCTAAGTCCTGGTTGTTTAGCCTCAGTCTATTAGTATGTTACGCGAATTTGAAATAAAAATAGAAATTAAGTAAAGACCGCTACCCATTCAGCAGCTATTTAATTATTTTAATAATGCATGAGTACCTGTTGCTTATTTGATTATTTTTGAATGAAAACTTGATTAAATTTCGTTCGGTATATGTTTGACATACTTTCCGAGAAAGTATGAACCTAAAAGTAAAAAGTACACAAACGCCTTAAGGGATTTTCAGCAAAAACTCATTGAGCTACTTACGAAGAAATAAATTATAACCTACATAAACAAAGTATTTATAGAAGCTTTTGGGAATATTAAATAAAAACAGCAATTGTCTTGCACATACCACTTTATACCTTTAAAGGTTGTCATTAATTCAGGGATTAAATTTTTCGCCCTTATTTATAAAAGGATCAACAGGCTTTTAAATACATAACCTATTATGAAAATAAGTCACTGACCTTTTCTTTAGCTCTTCCAGCGTGTTTTTGCACAGATTTTGCCAACAATGATCCTCTACTCTCTGCCATATTTTTACGTTTTGTTTGCACACCGCCCAGTTTGTCACAAAATCACACACAATTTTTTTAAACTAGTACCAATGATGTAAGCACTCGATCACAAGACACTCACTGCAGCAGCTCATCCACTGGTTTACTTTTAGCCGCACTTGCTAGAAAGAGTCTGACACCGACACGGCAGGGAACTGTGAAAACGCCACCTTACCGTCAAAGATTGCTTTGTTCGTTGGCATGTAGATGGCAATAGGGGTATCGAATTTCATATACTTACCACACATGTGGGAATAGGTATGTTTGAATTTCATATACTTATGTGTCTCATATGTTTTACCATAGAAATAATATTAAATTAAATATTTTTTCTGTGTTTCACAAGTATGTGTAGAATTTAAATTTTATTCGCAGTGATATGGTATGAAAATAAATAGGTACACTGGGTTGCCTAGTACATGCGTACTAAAGGGTGGCCCATAGAACATAATGGGTGGCCTAACAAGAGCGCGGGATTAAATTTTAAAGAAAAACACATTTATTTTTTGAATTAGGCTAACGTTTTTATATCAACATAAAGAAAAATAGTTTCGATTAAACGTGAAATACAACATCAGACAAATGGCCACCACGAAACCTCTGGCAATGGAGCCTACACAAGGAGTCCGAACTTTTGATTTTATAGGCGTATTCAGGCGTATTCATGCCAGAGATATATCTCTGATTCATGCTCAATTAAAATAAGAAAAAGAAATAAGGAATAAGAAATTAGATCGTTCATTCTGATAACATAAGAAATAAAAAATGTTGTCACACAATTATATTTTATTATAGTGGATTATATTTTGGCACATACTTCCACACATGTATGAAAGTATGTGCACTCAACGCGATCTCCAACACCATGGATCCAAGGCCAGCACATAAAACCCATAAAACCAACTCGAAAACCAATTCACATACCAATTTAAATTTGTCTTTTGCGCAGCTTTATAAGCAAAAATAAGAACCAAAGTTAAAAGTTAAAGTTAAAAAATTTATCTTTAGTCTTATTTCTTATTTTCATGAACATGAACGCAACCATTACTTTACAGTTTTAACTTTTTATCTTATTTCTTATTTTAAGTGAGCATGATCATTCGAATGCGCCTTTATACTTTAAACAGCATAATATTTTGCATATTGGTTATATTTTTATGATTTTTCTAGTACGTACGAGACTTTTCTGGCAATAAATTTTGTTTAACACAAAAGAAAATCAATTTTTTCTTTTTTAACATTAACAGCCGCTTATTGTAAATAAGTAAATTAAGGACGACAAACCAATGACTGTGATACCAACTATCTAAAGTAAAATTCGACCAAATTAAATTTAAGGTATAAAATTAATTTTTTTATAGAATTTTTGTCGCACTCGTCCATTACAAAACTCGCTCCTTCGTCCCTCGTTTTATAAATTGTCCGCGTGCGACAAAATGACGTCTTATGACATTAGTTCTTTTTTTTACTCCCACCTTTAAAACGCCCTTTATCGTACATGTTTCCATGACACTAAAATTAAATACACATTGACAAGTTGTGGATTTACGGCGCTTTAGTCACGGGCTGAAGTTAGCAACAGGTTTTTAGTCACGGGCTGAAGTTAGTTTTAAGTTAGTTGACAGTTGTCAAATGTCATACAATCGTTAAAATAAAGTGCCTTTCTTGTAAAATAATACTAAATGTGAAAATTATTTTATTATCTCAATACAAAAATACAAAAGTATTAAATAGTTTCTCAACGCCAATATTTGAAAATTTTATATGAACATTGTACTGACCTTTTAATTTCGCCGGCAGTAAACTATAACTTAAATTCAGACACGGACTCTACTGTAAAGTCCTCATAAAACATTTCCTTTACTTTCACCGTGAAAAACTGTCAATTTTCAATATACATTTCGATTTATAACCTTTATAACATGTAAAAATGTGACATTTGACAGTTTCCCTTGTTGTTTCATAGATGGCGCTGTTTACAAATTTTTGATTTAAATCATTTTAAGTATTTGTCGTAGAAAAAGTATAGTATGCACCTCGTTTATAAACTTTTCTATACACTCATTAATTTAAGAACTCGCTCGCAAGCTCGCTCGTGCCTAAATTAAATTCGTGTATAAAATGGCGTTTATCAAACTTGATACATAATATACTATAATATACTATTATTTACCTACAAACAGTATTTGATTATGTAATGGCCCATTAAATAGTTTCATGGCTTAATAATTGCATTTTTGTACTTGGCCTTTACAGGAATGTTTTAATGAAATTAATTTTGATAAAAGGCTGTCGTGAAAAGGTCTTGCAATGGCCCTTTTCAGGCTAATATTGGTATATTTTAAAAGACGTGCCCTCGGTGGTGTATAGTAGTCAACGCTGCGGACTACAAGCCGATATATCAATATAGGGGTATGGCTGTTTATTTGTGTTTGTCTGTGTATTCTCGTAATTGGGCCCGCGCCTGTTGAAAACACATTAAAATAAATATAAATTAAATAAATAAAGACCCATAAATAGCAATTTTCAGTATCAAGTTAATGGGACTTTAAAAAACCATTGAATTGCCAAATGTTTTCTGCATATCAAAACTTAAATGAACATTTAATTATCCTTTGTTTAATGCCATATTTTAAAAATGACGTCCAGTGTAATTTCTATAGTTTTAATAGTGTGTTATACCACATCAAAATAATAATCCCTAGTACCTACAGGTCTTTATTACAACACATTGCTTTGTATTTTTTCTTGTAAATTTATGAATGTTTTAGTATTACATTTCACGATAAAATATTAATTATTGAAATGGATTAGTAAAGCATGTATTATGGTGGATTAAATGTGGTTTGTTTATATTTATCAGGTCGTATTACGATAATCGGAAATTTTTATCCTGACCGTCAGAAATTGTATTGTGACGGTATACCCTATAGGGATAACAATTTCTGATTATCGTGGCTTGCCACATTTGTACCTTTAATCTGCCATTTCAGAAATTTAGCGCGCCATATCAAAAAATTGAATGGTTCTTTTAAATGCCTTTATTGACTGCGGTTACATGCCCCTTAAAGGTGAACGCGACAATGCCGCGGCAACATAATATGTACAGTTGCATTAAGCAGTGACACTACTCATGAGTACTGCAGTACTTGTCTCAGGTCGCAGATCGCAGAACATAAGCTGAATTTGAAAATTTAGAAATTCTACCCCCATCACCGCTAGTTTTAAGTTCTACAGAGTTCTTGATTTTGAGATATGACCACCATCTTTTGTTTTTCCGCTATATTTGAACTTTACATGATTAAATAGAAAAAAAAATCAAGAAATACAACGATGTACATGTAGTTTAATAGGTATCAAACTACACAAGTTATAACCATGGTTATGGTATGCATACATGGCAGCCATTATAAAAACAAAAAGAGGTGATGGTACCTAACTTAATACATAGTAAAGAATAAATTGGATGAAAATGTGGATTGCGGATTTATGTGTATGTATAAATGTAAAACTTACTTTCTTTAAAAATTCTTAGGAAAACAAAGTTATAACAATTTTTGGTTTTAAAAGATTCATAGAGTTTATAAATTTCATTTAAATATACTTGTCATTAGGCAACTTTTCTGTAATTGTTGCCTAATTAGAAGCCCATTAACATGAAATTTATAAATTGGAAAAAAGCCAGCAGTTCACAAAATTAAAAAAAAACTTTCCAACCAAAAAAAACAAAGGAAATTTGTACATCCAAACATCTACATTTTCATCCAATTTGTTCGCTATAGCGTTTTTTTGAGTTTCCATCACCATCTCTTGTTTTTAAAATTAATGTAGACGAATAAATAAATATTTGTTTCAAAAAACGAAAATTCCCGATATTTTCTGAACACACCTCGTATATGCAAGACACAATATTCACTACCAGGCCGCGTCTTGCAGATATGCTAGACGCTACACGCTTTATCTTATGGGTTATTAATTTGTTGCCTGCCACGAACATTATGGTATTTTTGGTTCGAGCAAATTCTATTTTTTTTCGATGCTTTATAAGATTTAGCAATAATCGCTCATGGCCCCCTAGGATACTTTCCAAATATACACGTGGCACGCAATGTGTTAAAGAAGTGAAAATAGTGAAATAATAAAGATTTAGAATCACATTCAGAGCTGGGCCAAGTACAAGTAAAATGTACTTAAGTACCGAGTACAAAGTACTTTGTATAATTCCTGAAGAAGTACAAAGTACCAAGTACTATACAAATTTCAAAGTACTTTAAGTACAGTACTGCAAGTACAGTACTCAGTACTTTATAATTGTATTTTAAGAGTACATGTCAACAAGACAAGACTCGCTGGTACCAAGACTTGGTAATAGTGAAGCTTTGGAAATACCAAAGTTTTGAAACGTAAACGTAAGTTAAGTTATAATTATGTATGGCGACAGCAAATTATAATAGGCCTTTGTCGGTGTACCCATATATATATATATATACATGCACGGCTATCAATACGAAGCCCGGTGCATTACACTGGCTAGTCGAAGCCCGGTAATGCGGGACGGGGCGGTTAACTGTTCGTTGGTGCATAAACAACAAGAGACAGACTCCGCTGTGTATCAGAAGCCCTGCTGTGTTGCCAATGTCTAAATTTATAATTATAGGCAAATTTGATTTAAAATACCTAGACTATACCTAAACTTAACCTATATTTTTAAATAATGACGTAGGTATACTTAAATATTTAATAATATTGTTGAATTATAATTATTATAATAAAAATTATTATTAAATTAATTATAAGTCATTATTTAAAAATATTGTCTAAATTTATAATTATAGGCAAATTTGATTTAAAATACCTAGACGATACTTAACAATATTCTTAAATAATGACGTAGGTATACTTAAATATTTAATAATATTGTTGATTTATAATTATTATAATAATAATTATCGTTAAATTATAATTATTTATATTATAATAATTTAAAAGTATTGTTGAATTTAGGTACCTATACATTTCATTTATTTTGTTTATACATCATAATTTTGAAAAGGTTTAAATATCTTATACAGGGTGCAAGCTCTATGGCAAACTTTGATAGCTGGGTTAATTATAAACATTTTTTCTTAAATGACATGGATG